CATTGTTCTCATCGGGATCAACTCGTTGTCATCGTTTGTTATTATTGTCGTACCACCTTTCTTGGGAACGTATCGAACGGGGCTAACCCATCTGCTATCAGAAATGGGTTAGATCACCCTAACATCTAACCATTTAATTATATCCTTTTGACCACCTCTTTCATTTTGGGGCCGAGCCTCATTTGGCTCTCGACAGAATTGGTGGCACCTTCTTCGAAAATGGTTTTGTTCATGCAAAAAACGGGGCTAATTCTTCTTATGTCTGCTATGGTCCATCCAATAGCCCTTTTGTACTTAGATAATACCTATAAAAACAAAGATTCATGTTCGTTAGTCAAATACTAAGAAATGATAATCGGCAATGTATCGTTTAAACCCAAATATGCATATTTTAAATGAGAGGATAGGGTTTCTTCTCCAATTATGGAGGTTCAACGATTGAAGGCTGCAAAAACTCGAAATTCTCCATCTTTGTCAAATAGGTGCAATTTTGCCTTCTTTTTCTACGACCTCCAAATTTTCTTATAAGTCTTCCACAAGATTAATGCTTCCTCCTAAGTCACACAATGCTCTCCCAAAATTCTATAACCTATCGAGCAAAGGATGGTGACTTTACCTGGGTCCTTACATTTGAAAGGCAATGGATTCCCTAAAGCATCACTACTACACTTTGTTAAGGCTACCGTTTCATGCTCGCCTGATTTCTAACTGTTGAGAATTTCTCTACCTTTAAAGAGATTAGAGACTTGTGCAAGCGCACACGTCGGTCGTGGACAAGCACGAGATAAGAACAATCAAATTCCAATAAGTTCACACACATAACACTTCCAACTTAATGTCAATCATCACAAATTCTAATATACATTTTTCATAGAATTCAACAACCACAACACACATAAGTTCTCATCCAATAAAATTTAGCAATATTCACAACATTTACACATGAATTTCATAAACTAGTCTCCTCTTTCATTAAGTCACCATAATATGCTTCATTAAGAAGTTAATACACAAACAAAATGAGCACAATGTCAACTAGCAGTGAAATGTATAAATGGTTCAAGGTGTTACATATTAGAAACAAAAGTAATGAAAACTATATTTACCACGTTTGCCCAACTAAGTATAGTTTGTAACAAATCCCTGACCTATTCATCTCGTACCTCATCAAATTTGATTTGTCGGATGTACTTCATGACATAATATCCACACTCAACTGGTCGATGTTGGTTGGTGTGGACCTACCCATAAAAGAAATAATAAATTTTTAAACTTATTAGAAAACAATAACACAATTTTAAAAGAGAGGGAGCTAAAAGACAATGACTAAAAGGGAGAAATCCAAAGACTTTAAGTTACAGATAAATATAATTACAAGAAAAATAAAACGAGATTTTGGTAGAAGAGACGATAAGCAAAGTTAAATTTTGACTTTCCGAGATTGTTAATTGTATTTGAATTGCATAAAAACGTAAACTAAGGTGTCTAAAGTTTCTAAGTCTGAAATAGTGACCAACTTCGAAAAGAAGATATAAAAAAAAATGAAAATGGAGGAATAATGAGAGAGAGAAATTGACCTTGGTGGCTACATCTTGCTTCAAATCTCTTGGTAGTAGTATAATCGGAGTTCAAATATGAGGGGTTTTTCTTCCCCTCCTGTAGCCCATGACTAGTTGGTGCTCATGGAATGTGCGGGGTTTGAATGCCGCCGCAAAGGGCCGCGAGGTCCGCTCGTTTCTGAGTAGTGTTCGTGCTGAGTTTTGTTGTCTTTTGGAGACTCGTGTTTTGCATCGTCATTTTGCCTCTGTTTTTCACCCCTTCTAGGTGCATTGGCAGTGCGTCAGCAGTTACTCTTCTTCTGGTGTTGGTAGGATTTGGGTGTTGTGGTGCCCGGGACGTTATGATTTCTCCCCGATTAGTATTTCTGATCAGTTTGTGCATGGTGTTGTTTTTGATCGAGTCTCTCAGCTTTCGGTGCAGCTTCTTTGTGTTTATGCTTCTAATTTCTCCTCTGAGCAAGCTCTGTTATGGGCCTCTCTAGTGTCCATTTGTTCGGCATGGTCTGGTCCTGGTGTGGTGATGGGTGATTTTAATGTTATTCGGCACTCGTCTGGGGTGCTGGGTGGTAGTCCTGTTTTGACAGATATGGAGCGTTTTGATGATGTTTTGTTACAGGCCGATTTGGTGGAGCCTCGTGTTTCTGGGTCTTGGTTTACTTGGACAAATAAGCATTTGGGGGATGGTCTTATTCTCAAGCGCCTTGATTGTGTTTTGGTCAATTCCGCTTGGTTTGATTCCATGCCTGTTTTTGAGAACTTTGAAGCACCGAGCGAATGAGCTGCAAACGACCAGCAAAAGAAAGCACACGAGCCGACCAACTCCAAATACGAGCACTAATCTTCTCCAACAAAGGCTTACAATCTCGAAAAGACAACCGACGAGAAAGGAGTGGAACGCCAAGATACCGCACCAGGAGAGTTGCCACCGAAAACCCCAAGAAAGAAGCCAACCCCTGCACCTCCTCAAGAGGAAGACCGGCCCCAAAAAAGAGCTTTTACGAGTATTAGCAACAAGACCCGACAACGCCTCAAACTCCACCAAAGAGCCCCGGATAAAGGAAAGAGAACCAACATCCCCATGCCAAAAAAATCATTAAGTCATCAGCAAAACACAGGTGAGTCAAACCAATCCGATCACAATTCGGATGATATTGAAACCCCGCCGGAGGGCGATTAAGCATACGCGACAACACTTCCATGGCCATAACAAAAAGATAAGGGGAAAGAGGATCCCCTTGACGTAAA